TCGTCGTTGGTGCTCGGCGGTTTCCATCCGCTGCGCCTCGCCGAGGGCGTTCCGGTGGCCCCTCGCCGAGGGCGTTTCTGAGGAGGAAGAGGAGGACAAGAATGTGGAGGACGACGATGATGACTAGGACGAGCAGGACTAGGAGGCGGAGGAGAAGGAGGAGGAGGAGGAGGAGGAGGAGGAGGAGGAGGAGGAGAGGCCGCGTTCGACGAAGCCTCAGGCCGTCAGGAACTAGGACCACGAGGAGGACGAGGACGACCATTACGACGAGGACGTGCAGGAGGAGGACGACGAAGAGGATGAGGAGGAGGAGGAGGAGGAGGAGGACGGCTGCCTCGTCCAGAGGTCTCTGGAGCAGCCGCGCAGGGAGGTGCCTCCCCTGAGGCCGCCCAGAGAGGGCCCCAGGCAAGGGCCAGAATCGCTCTCTTCCCCTCGACCCCGCGGCCTCTGGAAGGTCGACGGCTCGAATCAGGCAGCTTGCATAAGCACAATTGTTCGACGGTCCGCGCAATTTTCTTGCGGGTCCGCGCTGGAGCCCCCTGGCGGCGCCTGCGGCGCCGTCTCTTGCGCGCTCCGCGTGCCAGGGAGGGAGGCCCAGCGCCGATGCAAGACAATCCGCGTGGGCTGCCGATAGTCTCGAACGGCTTCGTCGACGTCGTCGACGACGTCGACGGCTTCGATGACGCCGTCGACGACTTCGATGACGTCGTCGACGACGTCGACGGCCTCCTGCTCTAACGACGACGTCGACGGCTTCGATGACGCCGTCGACGACGATGGCACGGCCTTTGGAGTGCCTCGCCGACGCTGGCGCGCCCTGCCCGAAGCACGGCCCGCCCGCTCGGCGCGGCTGCGGCTGCGGCGCGGGCAGGTGGAGCCCCGCAGCACAGCCCCAATGAAGGACGGCGCGCCGCCGTGCCAGGCGCGGTGCGGCGGGGGGCGCGGCGATGGGCAGCATCGGTCAGGGATGGGCTCGCAGTTCGAGTGCTTTCGATGTTTTCCAGGGTTTCTGTCGCTTCTCGGCGGTTTTCTAGCCTCGTGGCGTTTTCCATCAGCTGCGCCTCGTCGAGGGCGTTCAGGGCAACGTTGGAGGGGATTGACTCAGGCGGGGATGCATCGGCCCCCAATCGTCCACTGATCTCCAATGGGGCCCGATGGCCCGCCCCGCCCAGTAACGTTCGGACTCACTTCCAGGGGCCGATCGCCGATTTATCGGCGATGTATTTCCGATCCCAGACCTGGGGCTTGGCTGTCTTGGGCAGCTGGGCACCCCTGGGGGAGCCGCCCTCTTGGTGGGACGGTGGAGGTGTGTGCCGGCTCCTACCCACAGTGCGCCGGGCTGCGCGGACACGCGGCCGCCTGGAGGAGGAGGGCGATGGGGGAGCAAGGAGGAGGATGAGGAGGAGGAGGAGGAGGAGAAAGAGGCGGAGAAGGAGGAGGAGGAGGAGGAGGAGGAGGGGCAGGAGGAAGAGACGGAGGAGGGGGGGGGAAGAGCAAGGAGGACGCAGAGGACGGTGTGGGCAGAACCCCCGCTCGGGGAATCCCAGGTCCGGGACCTCGACCCGGGGGTCCCCGTCGAGGCGCCCACGGCGCGAGGGCCTGCATTTTCTGCGAGAGATGCGGAGGGTGTTGAGCAATTTTCCACTTTGGGGACCCTCGTCGGGCCTCGAGACCGGCGAAAAACGATTCAGGGAGAAAAAGTAAGTCCCGGGGGAAGGGCCCCAGACCTCTCGGGAGTCACGATCTGAACGAAATGCCGATTTCGGATGTTTGTGTGTCTTTCCTCCTGTCTCCCCTTCCTCCTCTTCCCTTGTCCTCCCTCCCTTCCCTCTTCCTCCTCTCGTCCTCCCTCCCTCGTCCTCCCTTCTCCTTCCTCCTTTTTCCTGCCTCCCTCTCTCCCTCTGCCCCTCCGTCCTCTCTGGAGCAGGGCCACGGGCGTGGGTTAGTTCTGGCAAAGACTAGAATCCGTAGAAACCTCTTCCTCCATCCTCCCTCCTTCTCTCCCTCGCGCCCTCCCTCCCTCGCTCGCTACCTCCCTCCCTCCCTCCCTCCCTCCCTCCCTCCCTCCTCCTCCTCCTCCCTCCTCCTCCTCCTCTCCTCCTCCTCCTCCTCCTCCCCTCCTCCTCCTCCCCCTCCTCCCGGCCAGTCGCGGGGATGGCGCCCCCACTGGCTCTCTGGGGGCCGCCCAGAGGGGGACCGTCCACGGTCCAGTGCCCCCCGGGCCAGCCTCTTCTTGAGGCAGGCCCTGGGATGCGACGCGGGCCGAAGGCTGCCCGCGCCCGCCTCCTCCTCCCCCTCCCCATTCCCCCTCCCCTCTCCTCCTCCCTCCTCCTCCTCCTCCTCCTCCTCCTCCTCCTCCTCCTCCTCCTCCTCCCTCTCTCAGTCGGATCGGCTCAAGCTTCGCCTTGGTGGGTCGCCTTCGCCTTCCGCGACGTCACCGGTCACCGATGCCGCCGACGTAGCGCGCCCGCGTGGCCGCGTCGCTCGAGGCTGCCCGTGGGACCGTCCTCGCGGTGCAAGGTGCGGCTGGGCTGTCGGTCGGCGCGGAATGCCACGAGACGGTGCGCCTAGTCCGCGCCGCCGAGGGGTTTCTGCGCGGGCCGTTGCTGCCCTGGCGGCGCCGCCCGCGTCCGTCCCGCTTCCTGCAGCGGCTTGCTGCCCCTCGGCGGTGGCGCCGCCCGCGCGGGCGAGGTGGACGTGCGGATGCGGGCTTGGCAGAACTGGCGACAGCTATGACAGCGCGGGGGCCAGGTAGGGCCAGGTGTGCGATGCAAAACATCGGGGTCGTCTGCGCCGACATTGGCGCGTAAGCTGCCCGCGACAGGTCGCGCGTGAGCGCCCTTGTGTTCAATATGGCGCGCCGCGCTGGTAGCCTGCATGAGCCACCGCGTACGGTCGATATGCCATCTCTCTTAAGACCATTTTCTCTCACTCAGGTGGACCGCGGCGCGAATGGCGACGCGGTGCCGGGCAAGGGCAAGGACACGGGCCAGGGCGGCCCGACGCCACCTGCAGGCGCCGTCCAGCGCCAATGATTGTGCTGGATGGGCAGTCTGGCGGCGACCTGAAGGACGAGTGGGCCGCATTTCGTCGGCCCTGCGGTCGAGCCTCCCATGCCGCCCTGCCTTTGTTCGGCCACGCGCAGAGGGTGTAGTTAGGGGGAGGGGGGACGGCTTCTTAGAAGCACCCCTGCTTCTTAGACGGCGTGGGCCCCGTCTATAGGTGTAGGGCCAGCGCCTTCTAAGGAGCAGCCTCCTTCTCAGAAGCCTTTCCCCCTCCCCCCCCCCCCTTGTGAGTGCCGCCCTGCCTCGTGTCGGGCTTGCTGGATGGCGATCGCGCTCGCTTTCGTGATGGACCTCGCGGGATGCGGTATCGCGACCCGGAGGCGGAGGACGTCTTGGTGGGGCAGGGCCGCCGTTCGGAGGTGCGCTATATTGCCGTCGAGGGCGAGGAGCCGTTCGTGCAGCTGGCGCAGGCGCACATCTCCGGAGCGGTGGAGTTGGGCGATAATGGCCCTGTCGGGCCGTCCTCTCCTTCACCATCTTTCTCTTCGGTGTCGCGGTCCTCATCGTGCTTGTCGCGTTCGTCGACTGATGGGGCATTGAGTTGTTCATGGTGTGGTTACATATGTTTGGTTTCCGCCTCTTGCTCCTCCCTCCTCTCCTCCCTTCTCTGTCGTGTTCAGTTCGAACAGCTGGACAGGTTTGGGCTGGGGAATGCTTTAACGTTTGTGCCTGCTTCGGGGAGGTTCCTCGTGGCCACGGCTGGACGCAGTTCGTACATCTGGTCAGGATGGTGTTCAGGAGTGTGGTTTTTGTTCAGTCCCAGCGCTGCCTTTTCTCAGGGGCAGGATTTCGTTCCTGGGGCCATCCCAGGACGATCCAAGTTGAAAAGCCAGTCCAGCTGGAGTGTTCGGGAGGTCCAGGGGCCAGCGGATTCAAGACTCCCAATGGCGGAGGCCTGGTCGCACAACTGGCAACGGTGTTCGCAGGTGGAAGGACAGGAGGATGAGCGTGAGGAAGGGGGACCAACACCCTGATCCTCGATTTTCAAGTCACGATCCTCTGCGATCCTCCTAGACCCCTGCTCCTCATAGCCTTAGTGAAGTATGCAGGTTTGATTTCAACGCCTCCGAGATCGTGTGTTCTCGCACCGCCGAATGCTGAAGAACTTCACCAGGACGGCGTTTCCTTCCGAGCTACGTCCGACGGTCACGGGGCCGAGCAAGTACCTCCGAATGTTGAGAATCACCCAACATCTCTCACCGTGCTTTGTTCACGACGCGGGGGTGTCTCGGCCTGGGGGTAATAACATCGCCCCTTAAGTCTATCTTGCGCTTTCTGACCAGAATCTCGAGGGGAACCCAGCCGTGTCCACCGAGGAGCATCCCGGAGCCTGATGAGAGGTCGGAAGATTTCATCTCAATCGCCGAACCCTCGAAGATCGATCCAGAAACCTCGCCCGCGGGCCTGCCTGCACGGCCCCAAGGACGCGAAAGGAGGCGTCCTTGCAAGGTCGGGGGGGATAGGCTCAAGGGGGGATGCGTCGGCCCCCCGGTCCCCCACTCATCGCCGATAGTGACCCGATAGCCCATTCAGCCCAGAGGCGTGCGGTTTTGCTGTCGGTGGCCTTTATCCGCTCTATCGGCGATGTATCGCCGATTCCAGCTCGACGTTTCCCGAGCGGGTCCCCCTCATCGTTTCCCATCGGTTTTCGAGGCGCGCTTCTGTCACGATTGCTCGCGTAACGCGTCTTTTCGAAACCCAAGTGAGTTCATGCACTGTGGGTTCGTGTCGTGCCGACGCGGCAGCGACCCCGCCGCGGGCGTTTCATGTTGAACGCCATCAGTGTCCCAGAATCGGACAATATGGAACGATTTGGCGATCGCAAAGCCGTCGATCGTTCAAGGCGGAACGATCCACGCGGCGTCAGAAGCCCACGCCAGGGTCGCCACGGCACGAACATGCCGCACGCCCGCGTCCCTGCCCCGCTATTGGCAGGCCTCGTCCGGCGCCTTCGACCTGGACGCCCACGACGAGATCATCTATCGAATGGCCTTGGGCCCATCCCGCCACCGTGCCTGGGTATGGGCATGAAGTCTATTGGGTGTTCGTTGGGATCTCGTGGCAGGCCTCTCGGGCGCCTTCTGGAAGCCCCACGGACTACAGTCAATCCGCATAGCAAGGATGAGAGACAACGGTACCCCCTTGCATCCTTGCCCCTTTGGTCATCTTCGGCACATCCTCAACCACTTTCGATGGCGAGCCCCGCTTGAAGAGCCTCGGCACGGGCACCCAAGGCCTTGCATCCTTACCGCGCATCTTTCCCATATGGGTCGACTGTAGGCAAAGGGGGATGGTAGGAGAGAGGAGGAGAGCGGGGGCGGTCCTCACGCCTGACTGCAATATTTGGCGAATACACTGTTTTCACGTTCGTGTACAATGCCATACGTTTGCTTTCCGTTGCGCGCGTGCTCGTTCAGGCCACTGCGCTGTAGTCTCGCCCGTTCTCGGGCCAAACCATGTGGCTCGACAGGGCCTCCTGTCTATCTGTCTGTCTGTCTGTAGGCTGAAAGGACCCGAGGACAACGCCCACTCCGTGCCCGGAGGCACGGTGCCGGACTCCTACGACGTCTCCTGGACCTGGTCGGACGTCCGCTGGGCCTCCAGGCGGCCTGCGACCGCGCCCCCGCGCCTCGCTCGCCGCGCTGCTCCGCGGCCCGCCCTCCACGGGCCTCGCTCCGCGCCCCCGCCGTCAGGCCTCTCCGCCTCCCCCCCCCCTTTCAGTGGCAACGCTAGGGAGGGATAGACTCGGGGCAGGAATGTTCGGATGTGTTACATGTTCAGGTTCTGAAGTTTCCGATGCCCAGGGCGGTTGCCATCCGTTGTGCCTCGTCGAGGGTTGCCCAGGGATGCCAGAATCGTCCCGAACGGCCGCCGGAGAGCCGAGCTATGACGCGGAAGCCGAGGGGCAACGACAGGGTGGGGATAGGCTCAGTTGGGGAGGATGCATCGACACCCCATCGCGCACTCATCGCCTATAGGGGCCCGTAGCCCTCCCGCCCAGGATCATGCGGATTCCTTATCTAAGGCATATCGCCGATCCATCGCCGATTGAAGCTCGAAGTTTCTCCAACTGAGCCAGTTTTCCGCTTCATTTCCTCTCCTCTCTCCTCCCTCTTGCTGAACATTTCTAGCGGGATCTGGCCAAAGGTCTCGAGTGAAAGCGAGCAAGTCTGCAGACGCAGACAGACGTATTTATCTGATTACGTATGTTCGGGTTGAGCATTGCACGTTGACTTCGCCACCTGGGCATGCTCGAAATCCTCCCAATCCTTTGCCCCTCCTTCCCCCTGCTGCCCCTTCGCTTCCTCCTTCCCTCTGGGCACTCGACCTCCGCCCGCTCCTTCTCCTCCTCCTCCGCAAGTTGAACTTCGCGCGAGACTATCTCGCCAGACTGGAGACATGTGAGAGGACGAACCAGCTTAGCAAGGTTGAACAGCTTTGCCGCTTGTAATTTCCCTTTCGACATCTACATTGAGTAGCTCGTAATCTCGTAACCTCCTCCTCCTTCTCCTCCTCCCCGTCCCGCTGCCTCCGCCGCAGGGGCTTCCGAGGTGTGGGCCTGGCTCTCGGGAACAACGCGTGCCCGCCGACCAGTCCTCGGGGCCCAGGTGGTCGTGGCCCTGACGGGCGCCGCAGCCGTCGGAGCGCGGCGTCACGGTGGACGCAGGGTAGGGTGCGCAGAGTGGTCTTAGCGATGCAGATGCCGACACGTCGAAGGCCATCGTGGACATCCAGATCTGAAAGGCCACCGACGAGGTGGCGGTCTTGTCCGCAAGCGCGCTGCCTGTGAGCGTCGCGCGCGTCGGAGCGGGTGGAGCGCCAGAGGCCCCCGCCCACGTTTGGACGGCCTCGCTTCCGGCGTCGCCACGGTCTTGGACTGTCTGTGGGGTCGTGCCGTCCGGGCCCGGGCCTGGCGGCCGCTGGGGGCTTTGGGCGCGCGGGGCCCGACCGATTTCTGCTGCCGGCGCGCATGAGGGCGACAGGGCGCCGCCCTTCCGCCGATCCCCCTCCCTGTGTCCAGCCCCCCCCCCCTCCCCCTCCCTCTCCCCCTCCTCCTTGCCCTCGCCCCTCACATCTGGTGCCCCCTCCCCGACCCCGCTTCTTCCTCCTCCGCCCTCCTCCCTCCTCGCATTCCTCGGTCCCTCACCGACCACTGCTAAGATCCGCCGCGGCTACGGCTGTGCCTGCCGCGCCGTGCAACCCCCGCGAACACTCATTCGCGCAGACTCGAGTCTTCATCCTCCTCGCTCCCCCCTTCCTCTTCGTCCCCCCTTCCTCGTTATCCTAGTCCTTCTCGCCCGCCCCCCTTTCCTTCTCTCGCCCTCCTTGTGCTCGAACGGTCTCCTTGTGTATGCTGCTTGCCTTCCCTGTCCTTTTCCGCGTCCTATTGGGGTTCAAGGATCTTCTTCCGTGCCCTCGTTCGATTTGTATGATATTCTTTTCAGATCTCTTCTATCCAGTATTATACCACGAGTTATCTGAATCTTTTACTTATAGTTAGTCGCGGAGTTTGGGCTCCTTTCCACCAGCCGCACTGGCCTGCATAGCATTATCTCATTGCACCGCTTAGAAAGCAACTGCGCCCACACTCCATCGCATTGGTCAACACAATCACGGAGTACCTTTTCAAGGGCCCCGTGGCCGCCGTGCTCAACCGTTCATCGTGTTCGTGCTCTTTCACCCGTTCATCGCGGCAGGCGAATGTTTTCTAGGGACCGTCATGGCAGAACGCGCCCAGCCGCCAGGAGCGTCTACGGGGGAGGCGCACGTGTACCAACACGGGAACATTGACTACAAGGGCCGCGGCTTGTTGGTGCCATTTTTCCCGGCTCAAACTCCCAGGTTTGCGCAGATGGTGTCTGAGCAGCTCGTGGGCCCGACGCCATCAGCGCATTCGCTTGTCAGTGTAACCTCAGAAGTCAGACATTTGCTCGACACGGCGTTCACATCTTCGGTTTTGGCCACGGGCCCAGAGGTTTTTGTGATTATGTTGTAGGAGTCCTGGGAGAAAGAGGCAGCGGACACGACGCTTTCATTGCATCCGCCTGTGGGTGTAGCTGGGGTGTCAGACATTCGATTGATCCGACGGTCACACCCCCTGCGTCGGCGGAGCACCCCGAGCTTTTGGTGACTATGTTACCGGAGCCAGGGGAGGGGTTTCAGGCAGAGACGAGCGAGAAGATAATGGAGGGTTTGGTGACTATGTTAACAGCGCTTCGGGGGCCGCCAAGCGAATCTGGGACTAGTAGTATTCGGTCTTTCGGAACATGACCTTCCGCATTACTCACGCATTCGCTGCTATCTGGCAGGCCTGGGTCCCGACGCACGCTCCGCTGCACTATCTCAGTGCTGGTGGTGTCCAGTACAGTGACAACGTGATGCACGACGAACATTATCATGACTAAGTTGTGGAATGCTCCGAGTGCCGATCTCGCCACAATCGCGCGATGGAAGAGCATGCCCAATGCGCTGTTGCGGGAAAGCGTAGCCAGCAAAAATGCCCACAACGGTTTCGAAGTTCTCTACCAGAGCAGCGCCGCTGGCGGGTGCCAGGACTCCAACGCTTCCTCGACTCGTGGAGGGGCTCCACTCCGGATGGAAGGCCACCGGGTGGGGCATGGTCGCTGCAGCCAGCTGCGTCGCTTGTTGCATGGGCGCCGTCGGCGGCGGCGGCGACAACCTGCGACGCCTCCGCGCCTGGGGGCCCGAGCAGCAAACTCTCGTGCCCTTCCAGCTCTGGGTGGTGAGTGGCGAAATCGGACATCAACCAGTTCCGCCAAGCGGCCCGCTCATCGTCGCGCCTTTGTGGCATGGCGCGCGATTTCGCGGACGAGTGGCCGCCAGTTGTCCTGATCCAGGGAAGCCGCATCATTTGCAACCCAGTGCCGCCCGTGATTTTCCAAATGCACAGGTTGGTCGGACGGCTGGGCCAACTGGGCGAAGAGGAGCGCGCTTAAGCGGTATTGGCCCTGACGAGCATCAACCTCAGGAGGAAAAAGTACTCACTCCGCTACCCTCGGCTCGATATATATATATATATATGTGTATATATATATATATATATATATTCATACATATATATAGGGGGGGGGGCATGTTTGTCGCTACCGCTGGAGTCGCCTCGACATTCTAGTCGGAACGTGACCCAGGAAAGTTCCGGGGAGTAGTTGCATCGGCACCTTCTGCTTCCCCCAGGGCCGCAGATTGGACGGCTCGGTGCCGAAGCCTGCCGCGGGTGCCCAGCAGCGCCCGCCGGGCAAATTTGGAACGAAGTGGAGATGCGAGGCACCCCTCCCATGCCAAATGCAACGATGATGCTGACGATGATGCTGATGATGATGATGATGATGATGATGATGATGATGATGCTGAGGATGATGATGATGATGATGATGATCACGATGGTGATGCGGATGCTGATGATGATGATGATGATGATGATGATGATGATGATGATGATGATGATGATGATGATGATGCGGCTGCTGGTGCTGATGCTTTTGATGATGAGGCTGGTGATCAAGCGGATGTACCTGCTGTTGATGGCGATGTGTTTATTGATGATGCTGTCGATAGTGATGATGCTGCCCTGTTGAGGCCAAGTGCCGCGAGAGCGCGTTGACAACCTCCCCGCCAGGTGCGACGCCTTCCGCGACAGGGCGCAGCAAACTGGTCAACTAGTGAGCGGCGACGGGGGGTCAATTACTTTTTGCTGCGCGCGGTGGGCTCGTCGAGCGTCCAACTCGCCAGGGTTATCCATCTCTGCGACCTGGCCTGCCCCACGAACAGTTTACAGCTGTCGCGCGTGGCTGGCCAGCCGCGACTGCTTGGGCACATGGTCGAGGGCTTGCCAGACAACCTCGCCTCGACCGCCCGCTCAGCCCGACGCCGCGCGTTCCGCGCGGGCGCCTCCGCGCAAGATCAGGTCAAAGTGCTTATGGCGCCGCGGTCGGATCGAGTTGGGATGGGCAAGGCCCCATTGCCCTGGGGGCGGGTCCGATCCCACCTGCGGCTGCAGCCGCTGCCGACGCCGGCGCAGCACCCTCAGCGCAGGTGGCATGCTCAACAACAGGTGTCGGCCCGGGCGCATATTCCGACGCCGCCAGCTCACTTGGCGAAAAGAGTGCTGCCGACGATCCCGAGCTGCGCGACGCTCCGCTGGAATCGCGCGGTGCGAGCCCTCTTTCTGGCCTGCGAACGCCTCGGGCCCGCGCGCCGCTTTGGGGGGGGAAGGGCGTCGAACGCAAGGGCAAAGGTCGCGGCAAAGGCTACCGCGCCTTCCTGGCCGATTCGTCGGATACCGAACTCCGAAAAGCTAGCTTCGAGGTGAGGAAAGTTCGGGACTGGTGGCGCGGGTTCAGGCCGCCGATGCAGTCCGCCGGGCGCGCCACGACTTTGACTGTTGAGGAGCGCCCCGGCGGCGCCGGCAAGGGTGCGCCCTCTTTTTCGGTGTTCCAGCTGCAGCAGCGCAGCCGTCACCGCCGACGTCTTCGCCAGTTGCTCAGCTGGGACATCAGGGGGCGCTGGGAGAATCCGTTCTGCGGCCCGTGCCAGGCGCGTGCGCGGTTTGGGTGAAGAGGGGCGCCTCCAGAATATCCCGGTCC